AGGTCCTCCTCAGTTTCAGCAAGCAGGGTTGTGTCATCTGCGTACCGCAGATTGTTGATAGATCTTCCACCAATCCTAATGCCACGCTTCTCCTCATAGAGCCCAGTCTCTCGGATAATCTGCTCTGCATACAGGTTGAAAAGGTAAATAAAGTAGCAGAAGAAGAAGGAAAAAAAAAGGAAATGTCAAGCGAATTTGTCCCTTTTGATTTTCCGACTCCAGCTCTTTGCATCCTTCTTTATAATACTTTGCTTTTCCTTTCTGAGCTGCGCTTTTAAATATTCTATTCAGCTCCTTAACTTAGTGATTTCTTCCCTTTGCTTTGGCTTCTCGGCACTCTACTGCAATATTCAGTCTCTTCTGACATCCATCTTGGTCTTTTCCCCCTCCTCTGTCTTTGTAATTGCATTTTGCATTCTTTTTTTTTTTTAATTGGAAAGGTTTATTTTCTTTTTTGTCAGTCTTTTAAATGCAACTACCATCATTTTTTATATTTCATTTAGTAGAAAACTTGATTAATAACACCTCCAGGAGTTCACAATCTTCAAGGCTTAGATTCTGATTAACGTAATATGGTTATTGGAGCAATATAAATGAAGGTTTTTTTTTTAAAAAAAAAAAAAAGCTAAAAGCAGTCTGACCACTTAAAAGAAAATATAAATGACCAAGTCTCTAGACCCTATAATGTAAGTACACTCAATAATGTAAGTACTATAACAGTCAAAGAGATAGAAAGATCTCAACTGAAGAGCAAAAATAAGCATAAGTGTCTATATGCATATGCATACTTGTACAATATGCATGTTTTAGTCATTAGCATGGTGGTATGAACAAGGCAATGTGGCAGGCACTAGCATACAGAAGTGTTCTGGCTATGCTGGATGGAGGGCAGCAGAGGCAGTGGTCTTCTCCTCCACAGAGCAGCAAGAGGGTTTTCTTATGATGATGTATCATCATTGATCATGGAATAAAGTGATGTGGCAAATTTTTTTCTGAATTCCTTTTTTTTTTCAAAGGTGGTGGAAAAAATTTTTTTGTTATTACAGCTAGGTAGTAGGGGTTTTTCTAAATTATTTTTTACACCAACTGCTTTTTATTATCAAGTTCCAGAAACCTTTCACAAGATAGTTTTTTAAAAAAAATTTACAACCACAGCTAATGTAATTTTTTTTGCCATTGTTCCCAGTCGGCTCCAAACCCACTGTGTGCAAATCCCATTTTCCATGCATCTAAATGATAAATACAGGCTATGAAATTCTTTATTCTATTTGTAGCAGCGTATGCAGGTGCAGCCAAACACAAAGCTTCAGGACAAATTGTACACAAACTTTACAATGTGGGATTTGACTTTAAAATATGAAACAAAACCTACACAAAACTGATAAAAATCAAGCACAGATAGCAGGACTGAAACTTATAACCCAGGTGTGAAAGGGAGTCTGGTTTCCTTTCAAGTGCTTTATTCTGCTACAGAACAGTCAAAATGAAGTCAAAATGAATGTGGTTAGTTTAAATTATACACTCTGTAGATACTATACCAATTTTAAAAGTTACACATAGACCAACAGATGTCCATCAGTTCATCTGGATTGATCAGACACTTCAGCTGGATTGCTGAAAACAGATCAGGTAAACGTGGAAAGAAAACTCCACCTGTGCATTTGCCTGCAGTTTACTGATGGGCACACTGCACTCCAGGTCCATGGTGGCTGCTGCTTTCCTCATCAGAACTATTGTTATAGGCTTCGCGTCTCTGACCACCTCTGGAGCCCTGAGTGCTATCAAATTCCTCTACCTCCTCTGTGTCTCGAATCACATCAGGAGCTTCTGGTCTCGAGGGCAGGAGATCTTCTAGTTCAGAAAGCTTGTCTGGGTTGATCCAGTTGTTTTCAGGAAACTGCACATCAAATTTGATGTACAGATCACCTTTTTCAAAAGGATTACGATACTGTGGCATTCCTTCACCTCGAACTACACGGATGCACCCTTGTTCAATTACTTTGCCTGGGGGTTACTCCACCACAATCTGATGGGCTTAAATCAAGGTGCTTAAATGTGAATTGAAATCCACATAGAGCTTCCACAAGTCCTATCTTATATGTCATATGCAAATCATTTCCATCTCTCTGGAAAACTTCATGTTCCTTTTCTTGTAGCAAAAGAACAATGTCTCCTGGTTAAACTCCAGGGGCCTGGTCTGCTTCCCCAGTGAATGTAATTCTTTGTCCATGTTTCATACCTTTGTCTACATGGACTTCAAGAATCTTGACTTCTTTAATCACTTTCTTCCCTTCACATTTTTTACAGCGGTCCTTTTCATTAATTACCTCTCCTTCTCCATTACAATCAGAGCACACAGACTGCATCTGTTGTACCATCCCTGGAGCCAGCTGTTTGATCATGATGCGTACACCTCGACCTCGACAAGCACTACACTTCTGAACAGTTCCAGATTTTCCACCTTGACCACTGCATGCACTGCATAGTACATTCTTGCTAAGTTGTAATTTGGTTGTCTTGCCATTATACAAATATTCTAAAGATACTTTGAGTGGATGCATCATGTCTTCTCCTCTTCTTCTTCCATTTCGACTTCTACTCTGATTGCCCATGAAGCCGAACAATCCTCCACCAAAAATGTGAGAGAAAATGTCATTCATGCCACCGCCTCCGCCACTACCTTCCCGAAGGCCTTCCTCTCCATAGCGATCATATAACTCTCTCTTCTCAGGGTTTGAGAGTACTTCATATGCAAAACTTATTTCTTTGAATTTGTCTCCAGCATTTGGATTCTTATCAGGATGGTATTCCTTGGATAATTTTCTGTATGCCTTTTTCAGCTCGTTCTCGCTGGCGCTGGGCGGGACGCCCAGGATGCCGTACAGCTTCGTGGCTTCGTGTCGCCACGGCGGCCACCGGAGAAGGAGCAGGAAGGAAGGCGGCAGAGCGGACGGAGCGGAGCCGGGCCCAGAAGCGGCGTCAGCGCAGGCCTAAATTAACTTTAATGAAAGTTTACAGAGACTTTGGATTTCATTCATTCATTGTTGCCCTTTTCTCCCTGCCCACCTCTTCCCCCACCCCCAGTTCGCTCTTCTCTTTGGAAAGTAAAACAAAAATTATTTCACTGTTATGCAATCCCTTTCCCCAAGTCCTCTCCAATATACAGTCTTCATTCTGAACTCCTGTTATGACAATAATACCTAATCATATGTCCCTTTTAAACAGTTCTCTCCCTCATCTTTTTCAATGCAGTATACATTATTTATCCCCTCTTTCTCAGTCTCCCCTCAACCCTGATGTCAGTCCCATTTTACAACAGTGGCACTATGCAGTAGTTTTGTCACTGAGATATTTCACTCAGCATAATGTCCTCCAGGGTAACCCATTTTGTATAATATTTCATGAGTTCATGAGTTCCTTATTTTTCAATGCCACATAGTATTCCATTGTGTGAATATACCACAGCTTCTCTATCCATTCTTTTGTTTATGGGCACTTGGGTTGTTTCCAGCACTTTGCTATTGTGAACAAAGCCACAATAAACATGGGTGTGCATATATCTGCTTGGGTGGCACTTCTAGTTTCTTTAGGGTATATTCCCAGTAGTAGAATTGTTGGGTAAATGTATTTCTATTTGCAATGTTTTGAGAAAGCTCCATACTGCATTCCATAGTGGTTGCACCATTTTACACTCCCAATAAGAGTGAATAAGGGTTCTAGTTTCTCTGCAACCTCGCCAGCATTTGATGTTTGCTGTTCTGTTAAATTTTGCTATTCTTACCGGGGTGAGATAATATCTCATAGTTGTTTTGATTTGCATCTAAGAGCTAGGGATTTTGAGTATTTCTTCATGTATTTGTTGGCCATTTGAATGTCTTCTTTGGTGAAGTGTCTGTTCATCTCCTGCATTCATTTTTCAATTGGGTTATTTATCTTGTTGTGGTGTGAACTCCTTTCTTATGTTAAGCAGATCATTCTCACTCCTGGAAACCATGACTCTGATGAAGGTGTGGTCATCTGTCCCAGCTCCCTTCATAGCATAGTAGAGGGTTTCTGCAAGATAGGCAGGTATACTTCGAATAGATTTTACAACAGAAAGAAGTTGTTGCTTCAAATTACCAGAAGTCTCTCGATCGATGGTTTCCTCAATTTGAAATCCTGATATGGTCATGTATTTGTCAAGCACCCTTCTCAAATGAGACACACTTCGTGTTCCAAATATAGTGATAACTTTTTCTTCATCTGCCTCCCACTTGAGCTCTCCAGCTTGAAACAAAGCCTGAGCCTCTTCAACCTGAGCTTCATTAATTCCAGCATCAGTGTCTCAATTAGGCTGAAGGAGAATTACCAGCATCTTCTGGTAGTATCCAGAGGTATCGTTTATCACATCATCTTCCAGGCTTGAACCATATTCTTATTCATAAATTTCTTTTATGGGCATCAGTTCTTCAGGTGTCCTTGAAGCAATAATTTCTCTCAAGTCTTTCTCATCTGTCCCAGCTCCCTTGAGAGCATGCTTCAGCTCATAGGCGTCCTAAAGCTCAGAGGGTTTAATTAGAGTCATAATTAACTTCTCAAATTTTCCAGTCCTGACTTCAGATCATCCAGGAGATCCTTGTCAAAAAGAATTTTATAAGTTGCCAAGATTTCCTGGCTCTGCATGTTGCTTCAGGATGTCAGAACAGCCAGGATGGTCTCCTCATCAGTACCCAGGCCTTTCATGGCCTTCAGAAGAGTTTCTACATCCACCCCCTCATCAGATCCGGGGAAGTTGGTCATGGTCATGGTGCCTCTGAGAACCTGTGCTCAGGTCAGGAGATGGTGATGCAAGATCAGGCAGAGCACTTCCAACCTTCCTAGCAGTGGGTGCACAGAGAGTGTGGGCAGGGATGCGGACGGAGACCGGGGCATCCGCTTCCCAACTTTTTGCATTCTTCATGAATTATATTCTTCATATCCTTTCAGAGCTCACCTGGTTTTTGCTCATTAGTATTGAAGACCTCAATTCAGTTCCTGAGATGGTCTTTAAAATTCTGGTGAGATAGCCTTGAGGTCGAATTTTAGTTCTGTGGATTTGATTTGATGTAGCTTTGACAAGAAACTGCTAGAAATTCAAGCTGAATTCAGAAGAAACCATGGAAATAATATTATCATTGCTGATGTCAGATGGATCTTGGCTGGAAGCACAGAACACCAGAAACTTATTTGTGTTTTATGAATTATACAAAGGCTTTTGCCTAAATTTATTATAAAAAATTATGGCTAACACTGAGAAGAATCTGAATCCCAGAACACTAAATTGTTCTCATGTGACCAAGTTGCAACTGTCTTATAAGAACAAGGGAACTTTGCAGGTTTAAAAGCAGGTAAGGTGTGTGTCAATACTGTGTTCTTTCTCCATACCTATTTATTTTGTGTGCTGAGCAAATAAACTGAGAAGCTGGACTATTTGAAGAAGAATGTGGCATCAGAATTGGAGGAAGACTCATCAACAATCTGCATTATGCAAATGACACAAACTCTACCTATTCTTAAAACTCACTGTGGTTGAGTCAGAACCAATTCACTGCTGACTCACTAGTGAATTTTCAGAGACCATGAATTGTATGGAAAGGGATTATACATCTTTTTCTCCCTTAGCTATTGCTGTTGTTGTTAGGTGCTATCAAACTGAGTAGGAAAATTAATGAGGCGTAATGATGTCATTTTAAAGCCCAAGATATATATTAGAGTTCCAATCTCTCCACATCATTGCCAGTATATTTTTGTTTGCACTATACGTTTATTTGTCAAAGTTTGCTGAACTTTGCCATTGCTGCTAGGGTAAGATGACATTTCATGTTATTTTGATTTGCATTCTCTAAAGCTAAGGAAATTGGACATTTCTTCATGTATTCGTTGAACTTCTAACTTTCTTCTTTGGTGAAGAGTCTATTTATAGCTTGTGCCCATTTTGTGATTGTGTTGTTTGCCTTTTTCTTGTAGAGATGCTGGAGTAGTCTATAAATGTTAGATATGAGTCCCTTATCCGATATGTCATTGCCAAATATTTCCCCCCAGGCTGTGGGATTCTTTTTTACCCTGTTGAAGTTGGGTTTTTCCCTTTTTATGTGGGTGGGTTTGTGTTTGGGTTTTTTTTTATTTTTTTAAATTTTTATTGTATTATTTTTATGTGTACCGTCAAATCAGATCTGACTGGTACAGGAGGAGATTGCCCCCTCCTTCTCCAGCAGAGCATCTGGTGGATTTGAACCACATACCTCTGGGATTGCAGTGCAGCGTCTTGCCACTAGGCCACCAGAGCTCCCTATGTGTTGTATTTTGTTGGTTTTTTTTGTGTGGGTTTTTTTTTTTGGTTGGGTTTTTTTTTTAATGTGCTTAGAGATTTTATGTTTAGAAGGTCCCATTCATCTATTTTTATCTTCTAAAGAAAAACACTAAGATGTGCCTGATTTTGGCTATGGCCTTTTCAGTCACTTGCTATATATCTGAAAGCTGGCCAATGAATAAGGATGAAAGAAGAAGAATTGATGCCTTTGAGTTATGGTGAAGGGTACTGAATATCTATCTCATGGACTGCCTTAGGTATTAGAGAGATGCAAATTTAAGAAAATGGGATATTATTTAACCACAGCAAAAATAATAATGTTCAATAATATATCAAACAACAAATGGTGGTGAGGGTATAGATTGTTTGGAATGGTCATACACTGCTAATGGGAATGTACAATGGTTGCAACCATAATGCAAAGTATTTTAAGCTTCCTTGGAATATTTGGTATATACATATCATTTTATTTAACTGACTCCTTAGTTGGCACAGGTCGCAAAGAAATAAGATCTACAACACAAACTGATATATCATGTTTCTTGTAACATTATAGTAGCAAAGATTTCAAAATGACTCAATTAATTATCCATCAATGAATGAATGGCTAAATAAATTGTGGTATATTCACACAATGGAGTAGTATTTATAAATTTTACAAAATACTAATGACATATCTGATAAGGGACTTATATCTAAGATTTATAGAATACTCCAGCACCTCTGGAGAAGAGTATGGAACATACTATATGGACCACCAGGAGAACAAACAAGTCTGTCTTGGAGAAAGTGAAACCAAGTTTCTTCTTGGGGGTAAGGATTTTGATGCTCTGTCTCCCATTCTTTGGGCATGTGGCCACATCTTAGAGAAGGACATCATGCTTGGATGGTGAAGGGATAACACAGGAGAGGAAGACCCTGGATGAGACGGATTGACACAGTCACTGGGGTAATGAGGGTAGGTATATCAGAGTCAGTGAGACTGGCTCAGGATAGGGTAAGGTTCAGAACTATTGTACACAGGGTCTCAATGAGTCACAGGCAACTCAATGGCACATAACAAGAACACAACAAAACCAGCACCTCAACAAGGAAAAGGTGAACAACCCAATCGCAAAATGGGCACAGGATATGAATAGACACTTCACCAAAGAAGACATTCAGATGGCAGATGGCAAACAAACATATGAAGAAATGCTCAAAATTTCTAGCTAGCAGAGAGATGCAAATCAAAACAACTATGAAACGTCATCTCATTCCAGCAATAACAGCAAAGTTCAACATGGCAGCAAACAACAAATGTTGGCAATGTTGTGGAGAGATTGGAACTCTTATTCACTGCTGGTGGGAATGTAAAACCACTATGGAAGGCAGTCTGGTGCTTTCTTAAAAAGTTGGACATAGAAATATCATTTGACACAGCATTTCCACTACTGGGAATATACCCTGAAGAAACTAGAGCCATAACCCAAACTGTGTATGCACACCCATGTTTGCTACTGTTATTCACAATAGCAAAGAGACGGAAGCAACTTAAGTGCTAATCAACAAATGAATAGATAGGAAAACTGTGGTGCATTTACACAATGGAACATTATGCAGCATTGCAACACAATGAATAAAACATCACACAACATGGGGGAGCCTGGAAAACATTATACTGAGTGAAATATCTCAGTCACAAAAAGGCAAATAGCGTGTAACACTGCTGTTATAAAATAGGACTGATATGGGGGGGAAGTAGGGGAAGAATAGGAAAAGAGTGGGTAGATAATGAACACTGAATTTAAACAGATGAGAAATGTCCAAAAGGAATATATGATTTGGCATTATATATATGACACC